TATGTGTTGATTACAGGTGAGGTGCCTCCGTTTGAAGAGTACCATGGGCCCTTCAAACAGGATCTTTTGACTTAAAATTTACCTTCTAGAGTTATGTACTGGGATTAATATTGAGTCGGTTTTTAACTCAATGTTCAAATTTTCTGTTATGTTTTGTTGTGTGAGTCCGTAGGAATGTTATGAATTTGAGACGTTTGAAGTATTATTTTGCATATCAACTGAGCTTTTGATGAATGTTAAATTTAAATCTTCCTAATGTTGTCTCTCATCCAGACGGAAAAAAAAAAATTCTTTGACAAATGGTTGGCAATCTTGATGGGCACATGGCCAGTGGCTGCTGGGTCTTGCTCTTTGGGACGGTGCTGGAATGATTATGGCCATGGTTTTGCTAGGAAATGAAGTTTTGCATGGTAGAATTTTAATGAATTATACCACAGCATGACCATGAGTAAGTAATCTGTCAAAATTTATATTATCACCTTCGAGTCCATAATTAAAGTGTATAATAATGTAAAGATTAAAAATAAAATAAAATAGGAAAATGGGCCTGATGGCAGAAGCTTTTAGGATCCAAATGGCGGAATTATAGACGGACAACGGTCCATAGCTGGCAAAGAAAAGTACCAAAATGCTAAGAATTCACAAATATCACCATGTGTTCGAACGTCCAAGGAAAGAAATGGTCTTACGGAAGAGAAAAGAGGGCTGAAGCCTCGACTGGTAGCAAACTTGTTTGTCATTACCAGGTTATTTATGATTCTCCATTCAATTTATTTGGATGTTTGGTTTAATTCTATGAAAATAACCCTTTTGGTGTTGTTGGGCACTCTTTCTTCACAGGGTAGTTACTGGTCGGTCGTGCCCAAGGGCAATTTGTGAAGCCTGGCTGGACGGTTCTGTCATTAGGAACTATCCACATTGCCATCAGTTGGCTAACCTTGGACTCCCAATGCCGTTCTGATTTTCCTGGTGTAAGTCATTTTCTTATCAGCATGTGTATTTGGAATTTTGTCAAATCTCTGATTCTTTTAAAACTGGATTACTTGATGCATGAATTCCCATTATTTGTCAATTGAGCAAGGCTTGTACGAAACAGTTATGCCAGGTCATATTCTTTCCATTCCAATCATGCCACGTATTCACATTATTGAAAAAAATCAATCAATTATTACACATCACATATGTGATAATTAAATGGAGAATATTTATTTCAATAGATTAATTAATTATTTTATAATAAATAATTAATATTTTCTAATAATGTGATTGTGTGGTATGATTTAAATGAAAGAGATATATGCTGATGTGATGTAACTGTTTCATACAATCCTTTTCCTTGGCATAATTAACTAAAACCTAGAAAGAAAAGTCTCTTAACATATGAGTTATGATTGTCTACTGAGTTGTCTTGATTTATGGCATATTATATCTGACTTGTCTTGAATTGATAAACATTGTTGTCTCCACAATTTTTTTTAGTGCAAATTGTGATGTGCGATTATGCAAAGACCTTTGTATTTCTCTTTTGAAAGAGGTAATTGGTCCATTTTTTGTATGGACCTTGATATGAGAAATTATCAAATTAGATTCTCTTGAGTCTTGACTAAACCTTTAGCCGACTGGATCTTAAGACTTGGTTGGGTAAAGTGCAAATGGTTCAAGCAGTTTAAGGTTAAAGGGATCCCATCACAAAAGCTGTTTTCCATTACTTTTTGCACATCGGTGGTCCACTTGATGTTTTAGCAACATGGATTATGAGGATTGAACAGCTGAATAAAAGATGTCAAGATAATATAATTTGTCCATCAAAACAAGGATTTTGCTAAAAAACTTACATGGTCAGGAATTGTTTGTGGTGAGAAAAACGAAGAATTTTTCTTCTGCAAAATTGTTTGTAACTCTTTCAGACAACCCCCATATCATATTGGAGTGGACCTGATCACACATATATGATAAATCTATTCGACCACTATTCACCTACTTAGTTAAAATCTTCAAGAAATTTAACAGCTTTTAAGCATTAGGTGTTTTTGGATCGAGTTTACTATGTTCACATTATGATATGTGATTACCCCATTTAATGGCTTGCTTTGAATATCCAAATATGGGACTTACTATTGACAGTTGGCATGTTTAGGTTGGTGTTGCAAATTAGCATAGTATGAATTTTCTTTTCAGCATCTCACCCATTTAAAAGAAACAATCTTGTTCATGAATTATTTGAACATCTAGTGGTTTCATTAGGAATTTGAAGTTTTGAATTGTATTTTTCATGTTCTTACAAAAAGTAAGAATGAGTATTTTTCATAAATTTTGTATTGAGACTGTAAGGTAGAACTGTGCTAGATCATGTATCAATCAAATCTAATATGTTCAACATAGGTTGGTGTAGTGGGAGTTTATTGGCCTTGGTTGAAGTGCTTTTAGTCATTTTGGAGACTTTCTCCCTATCTACCATCTTTGCTTTCGTTGCCAACCATGGATGATCAGAACAGCCATGGAACCCGATGAACTAGTGGAAGAGCCAAGTCTCACTTCTTTGTTTCTTGAAAGTCCCTTTCAAATTGTTCAGTCCATCTGGTCATCCTTGAGAATTTTCATATTATATTCTCCTTGTGAATTGTAAGGTTGCTTATTCAATTTTAAAAAAGGTGAACATATTTCTTGCCGTGTCTTTTCTTTTTTTTTTTTAAGCCTGTAATTCAAAGTGAAAAGTCTTTCACTCTATTTTGATACATGCTCTCATATTGATGGTTCTGTGATTTTGGGACGCAAAATACTCAATGCTATGGATATTTGATGAATTTCTTTGTTTACATCTTTTTCTTTATTGACTCGAATATATGTTAATTGCCTTATAATATACAGATAAATGCTTGGTAATAGTAAAAATTCAATTCCGCTGATAGAATCACGACATCTAAGTCTGTAGTTCATCAAAGACATGTAAGGCTATTAGGGAATGGACGAGATAATGTTAAAGACGAGAGATAAAATCTTGGAGGAGAAGCCAGTCTTCTGATGGGATCCCTTAACCTTGGAGGAGAAGCAACTTGGTGGTGGCATTGTCACCTTCTTTTCCAGTTTTAGACTTTATTGAACAGGAAAAGGCTGCAGAAGAGGAAGAAACATCTGCTAGGATTGCATTGGAAATTTGTAGCATCTTCCACTTGTTTGCCATCAGCACGTAATCCTGAGACCATTGGAACTTGAAACACAGGACTCATTTTCAAGATGAAGCAAACATGGCCTTTCTCAACTTCAGACCAAAGCTATTCTCGAGAAGAGCTTTGGAGTGGTAGGTATATCTGGTAAATCACTAATCCGATATGTGATGTCACTGCTAGGAGCAATGCAGTATCTTGGACTCCATAAAACACGCCATGCATCATTTCGCCACTGACTTGAGGAAATAGTATCAGTATGAAAGGAAGAAGATGTCCACTAAGATGCCAAAAGAGTGGAACATTGATACAAGGAGAGTAGCACAACATATTTATAGTGATGTTTATGACCAACTATTCATGGCTGTATCTATCTTTTCAGCCAAAAAAGGCAGTTATTTTTGGCATTATTAGATCTTCCATATATGGATTCTTTCCTTTATAAAATGCAGACGTTAAGAATTCAAATATCAGTATAGACATGAATATGCCTTCTATATATGTGTTTTCATTTTCTTTACAACATAGCAAACAAAGGTCTTATGCAAATGTGGCAACTTTTTATTGAGATTGACATATAGAAAACCATACTTAGCACAGAAGACACTTATACATACGGGAAGTGATTCATCCGCATGTTAGTTCTCTCTTTCTACACTCATTTATAGGCACATATGCATAGATACATGCATATGTATTGATTTTTATGAATTGAATGTCGATGAGTCAATCTCAGTGCAAAGTACCCATATGCAAAAAGGCCTAAACGTGTTGTAATATGAAGAAAATGAGAATACATATTTGGGAAGCTGCATTTATTTGTATCCTAATATTTAATTCCTCACAAGAATACTATCTCCATCCTTATGAGCAAGGATTCCATATGTAGAAGATGAATTAATGAAAAAAACACTGCACTTTTGGCCCAAAAGATAGACACAAGCATGAATAGTATGGTATGTCTATTAGGCAACTTTTGCTGTATGTCTATATGTCTTTTGTGCCAAGTATGGTATGCCTAGAATGATTCATAGAGACATAGCATATAGCACCAAAGGCATATATACATACCATACTAAGAATATTGGCAAATTCTAGCACATTCAGTTACATAATCTTTAACTGGACATAGCTAAAATATTTAAGCATGGGACTAAAGCCATTTTATGTCTAAAATGGCAAATCATAAAGATATGATATGACTATTAGCTGGTATAGACCAACTCTAGTCTGTTTTCAACAATCCTGTGTGCTAATTTCAATTTATTTGGTCCAAGCACGTGGGAATATCATTTGGTTCCCTAACTGAGTAGCTATAACTCGATTTATGCAGCACATGAGCATATAGATGTCCCTACATAATTACTCTTCCTACATAATATGAACTGTATTTCTATTTGTGTTAATACCAGTCTAGGAAACAGTATCCAAAGGGAAGGAAAAGCAAATTACTCTTTGATTTTGTAGTTAAGTGGACATCAAGAAAGCTTATCTTAGGGCTTGAAATCCTGATAATAACATACAAGGACTAAGGCACTTTATCCCAATTGGACTCGAATTTTTCCCGTTTGTATTTTGCATCAATAGAAGCAAGCAAAAGAAAATAATAGTTTATTTCTTTCAAGAAATTAATTGGAAATGGCATAAGTTTTGTCATTCCTTTTAACAGTCTTGATTTTTCTAAGACATATTTAGTTTGCATTGTTTTGTACTATCAAAGAATTAATTAAATACATAATAATGACACCATCATCATCTGACAATCTAGTTGACTGTGAATCTTTTCAACAGAATCCTATTAACCAACTCAAGCTAAGAGTGGAAAGATGTGGAAAGACAACCAATGCTAGGAAACCGTTAGAGAATTAGAGGAAGAGATTTGACCGTAATGTATTTATAGAGATTGAATAGATGCAAAGAATAGGTATTCTAATTCTCTATTAACGCTATGATTAGATCTTTATGTGCTGTTACCACTTAAAAACATTCAAGTTAGGCATAGGCATGCTTACATTTTCTGTCCTGTTCTCTTGCTTTCTTTGTTTCTTTCTTTTTCTTCTTTAAAGAGAAAATAAAAAGGAGCAACATTTGGATTAGTGAAAGAGAATGGTTGTGCGTCTTGTGCCTATTTTGGAGCACCATTTTATATAGTCGGTCATAACTGTTATGGACAATTGGCATCTTTGGAAACACGTCAATGTTTATCGCTTATTCTATACATGTATACTTGCTTAGTTTACATGTTAAAATGATTTATGCGCTTTAGGTAACTCGTGGAATGATTTGTTTGGCTGGTTTGCATAACATAAGTTATTACTCTCTGTTATTACTTTTTTATTACCGTGTCGGCAATTAGAGGTGTTATTTGGGCTATGCGTGCCAATGCCCAGGGCTCATTGCCATGATTTGTTGTGCTGTGTGGGTCTTGACAAGGTTGCTACCATCCTTTGCTAGGCTTGGCTGTCTATTTGTTTACCTTTTTTGAATTTTTATTTAAGCTACTGACTAAAATGGAAAATTGGTATGCCATGCTTTTCCAGCCTGTAACTGCTCTAAATAGACTATATTGCTGAATAAAATGTTGGACCATGGAGTTATTAGTATTGAAACCAATACTGTGGACATTTGGTGCACAAATTTTATATTGTAATCCTGTCTAAAAAGTTTCTTCATATCACCTTCCTCAAAAATTGTAAATCAGTTCCTTAATGCAGAAGAGACCGCTTCTTTTCCATTACTGTTTCACCTGTGGACCTTCTGTGTCCTGTTAAACTTATAAACCCTTAAACTTACCGCATAGGATTGTAAAAGACTTGAGCCAAAAATTCAATTGCCTTTTCAGATTAATGATATTAATTCTTGAACCTGTATGATATGCCATCTGGTTACATGGTATTATTATGACAGGAGGTGACAATGCCACCTGTATGATTCCTGAATCATTTTGCTAGAATTGAGGAAATAGTATTAGTATGACAGGAAGAAAATGGTGATTGTGATGCCAAATAGGTGGAACTTTGATACAAGGAGAGTAGCACAGCAATCATACTTATATGCTGTTTGAGACCAACTATTCATGACCATGTCTATCTTTTCGTCACGTAAAGGCAGTGTTTTTGGCATTAATAGATGGATGGATACTTACCTTTTAAAGATGCAGATATTTAGAATCTAAATGTCAGCATATAAATTAATATGCCATTTATTTTCTATACATTTTCTCATTTTCTTTAGAGCACAATAAATATAGGTTTCTGTTATTTCATTTTTTTATTATTCATATCTTAGTCTTTTAATTTTGTTATTTATTATTCATTTACTGAACTTGGATTAAAAGTGTTTGGCTCCATCATGTGATTTTGTTTTGTAGTATAATCTGTAGGTTGCTTTCGCCTATGAAATAGGAAATGGCTTTGTTGTTATGTATAATTGATTTGTACTCTTATTTGCTTCATTGATTAGAATTGTTTTGTGACACTCAATTTCTTTTGTGTTGGAAAATTTGAACTTAGACCGTAGAAGTTGTGAATTTGGACTATCGTTAGTTGAATGGGAATTATTTGCTGTTTCTGTATTGAAATATTCTAGTCTGAAGCATTGAGCTGAATTCTGCAATGTTTTGGGTGTTCATATTTGTGATTATGAATTGTTTATTTTTGCTTAGATTAATCCTTCATTATACTTAGGATGTATGTGGTTTTTTGTCATCTACTGGTTTATAGTTTTCTTTCCTGAAAGACTTTGGATTTCTTATTTACAGTAAGCTTCAGAGTGATGCCCTCAGAGAAGCTATTTCAACCATTTTGACTCAGTCCAAGGAGCGACAGCATAAGTTTACTGAAACCATTGAGCTGCAGATTGAGTTGAAAAACGATGATCCCCAAAAAGCAAGCGTTTCAGTGGTTCCATGAAGCTGCCACACATTCGTTGCCCTAAGATGAAGATCTGCATGCTTGGAGATGCTCAACATGTTGAAGAGGTAATTTTGCTGCTTTCATAGGTAAAGCTTTTTTGCTTTCATTGCTTGGAAGAATGTTTTATTCTGGACTCAGGTATATGGACTTTTAATGTTTGAGTGGTCGTTTGGTGCAATGAAGTTTTTTCTGTTTTAAATGCTTTAATGTCTACTGCAGGCAGAGAAGACAGGCTAGGATTATATGGACGTGGAAGCACTGAAGAAGCTAAACAAGAACGAGAAGTTGGTGAAGAAGCTTGCCTAGAAGTATCATTCCTTTTTGGCTTCTGAATCTGTCATCAAGCAGATCCCTCATCTCTTTGGTCCTGGTCTCGACAAAGCAGGCAAGTGATGAGCTTTTTTATTGCACATCTGTTTTTGGCGTTTTTTTTTTTATTTGTACTCCTCAAGGCATTTGCAGAGGAGACGAAGTCTATGCATGCTGCATTTGTCATTTTTGGTTTTTAATTGGATGATTTTTTGCACCAATGTGGGGAAATTTCCCATTCTTGTTACTCACCAGGAATTCCTGGAGTCCAAAGTGAATGAGACCAAAGCAACGTTAAAGTTTCAGCTGAAGAAGGTCCTTTGCATGGGAGTTGCCGTTGGGAATGTAGCTATGGAGGAGAAGCAGATATTTCATAATGTGCAAATGAGCGTCAATTTCCTGGTTTCATTGTTGAAGAAAAACTGGCAGAATATAAGTAGTCTTAGTTTTTGATTGTATACATGCAGGATTTTGGGCGTGTCTTCATGTTTTTAATTACATGATCTGATTGAATTTCTTTAGAGCACAGTAAATATAGGGCTTATGTGAATGTGAAAACTTTGTATTGGGATTGACATTAGTTTTGTCTTTCCTTTTAACAGTCTTGATCTTTCTAATTCATGTTCAGTTTCCGTTGTTTTTGTTCTATCAAAGAATTATTAAATACATAATCATCATAGTAACATCATCATATTACAATCTAGTTAAGCAGAACCTTGTTCAATCTTTTGGACTTTAACAAGTATTGAATGAACCTTCTATTTCAGACAAATATGAAGAACCTCAATCCTGAAGAGGTAAGAAAAGCACATAGCCTTGCCTATGGAATTGATGTCTGAAATCTGACGTGAACAAAATATCAATGAACTTTCTAGTCTTAATAAGAGTTGGCAGAGAAAAGTAGGTTATGCAAGCTTATTGGAAGGCATGTTTTACAGGTGTTAATAAACCTAATCCTGCTAATTTCTTCTTGTTTTATTCCTCAGTCCAGTCCTAAGCATTCCTAGGCTAGCTGGACAAGTTTTTTATCATCATGTAACAGTGGCGGATTTTTTTTTTTTTCAGAATATTCACTTATAATATATATATATATATATATATAATTAACCAATTTATTAATTTTATCGGTAAAAATGTGTAAAAAAATTTTTCTTTTAAATTTTTTTGTTTTTTAATATTTGAAGTATCCATGAAAATCTTATTGACTTATTTAGATTCGTCTATTACGTAATTAATTTCAACATTGCGTATAATTTTAAAATTTCGTAAATTCGGATTGAGGTTGGCATATGGAATACTTGCTGGAAAGGGAATAGTTAGGCATGTCACGGCGTGAGCAAAGAGTCGTGCGGCTTTCTAAGTGATGGCATTGCTTCGTCTGCCTATGCTACACATATGCCTCCACGAGGGATAAATCTTTAGTAAAGCATCTAAAAAGCATCATTCAAGTCCCAACTCTTTTTGGTTGGATTCATTAAGACATTAAAGTTTTAATATAGAAAATAATCGGGTAATCTATTGAGAAGCTGGAATTTAAATTTCAACATATAGAATTTAATATTTGTTACATAAGAAAGACCTATGAAGTTAAATATCAGAATCTTCAACCAAACTAACTTTTGTCTATTCATTTTTCCAAAAAGTTGCGAGCAAACCGACCTTAGCTCAGTTGGTAGAGCGGAGGACTGTAGTGGTACCATAGCAATCCTTAGGTCGCTGGTTCGAATCCGGCAGGTCGGAAATTATTTCTTTTTATTTTTCAACCTTAACTGATAATAAATGGAAAAAACCAATCCATGGGAATGGTCACGTGGTTAGGTTGGTTTTGGAGTGGGTGCGTCTTTTTCATTGGCTGATTGCCTGTCAACAAATGCCCAAAGGCAAAACCCCAGAGATATACCAGAACCAACTTTCTCCCCCTTCCCTTATGTATAAAGCACTTGCCAAGTGCTGAGTGCTGGCCTACCCATCATCATCACTATCACTCATTATTATATTAGGTTTTTTACACTATAAATTTAGGTCCCCTCGTCTTCTCCGCTTACCCCTGGCAACCCAAACTCCCTCAGTAAGCCCTCCGTCCCTCTATCTCTCTTCCCTTTCTTTATCTTTGCGTGTACACCTTTATCTCTGCATCTAAGATTTTGTGTTTATGATCTGCTTTTAGCTTTGATTACTTGTTTCTGCTATCTGGGTTTTTGTTTTTTTGCTTGTTGGTCTTTTTCAAGCTTGGGTTTTCTGGTTGAATTGTGAGTTTTTATTTTCCCATTTTTCAGATCTTTGTTTTAGGAAGAATATGTCGTACAGGTGTGATAAATTTTTTTTAATAGATGAATAAGAAATTTTCATTTTTCGCTTTGGAAACCTCTTGTTCTTGGGTTGATTATTTATTGTTATCCACCAAAGTAGCTACATTCAACCTAGACAATGGAAAAGGAGATTAATTTGATTCATGCATTATCAAGTGATTTATTTTTGGTTAGTGAAGGGTAAAGCTTGTATTGGTTCACTGGAAGATCTAGAAATGTGATAAAAGTCATCCAGTTTTTTTCATTTTATGCGGTGAATCATTTACCAAGAAGATTGTTGGAGATAGTCTATATCACTGTTTGCTTTGGTTATTTTCAATGTTTGCTTTTTCTTATTCTAAGGTCAGCTACTCTCACTTTTTAGTCTGTGTTAATACATTCTATGAAATAGTGGACCTGTCTGTTGATGGGGTTGATAATATAGTGTACTTGTTTGCTGAGTGGGTTGGTTGTTGAGGTAGATGCATTGGGCTATAGCGATTCAGTGTACCATTTTGTAAAAATGTCTTTTCTTGGGTCCTTGGATTTTTCAAATTGTGAATGGTCCTAACTTTTAGCATAAGCAAATTGTAGTGGATAGTAGTAAAAACTTTTGCATTTCAGCAAGTTCAGTAATCTGGAACCTATTCACATAATTGACTCATAATAGGGGTTTTTTACATGTTATTGATAGGAAGAGAAGAAATTTTCAACTAGAAATTCTTTTTGATTAAGTCATTGCATCTTGGAAGATCTTCCTCGTTTATTTTGTCAGACGTGTTGCCAATTCTCGGTTTGTGCCTTTTGACAATTGTTAGAATGTGGTCTTTGATATTGATTTCAATGCTGGTCCAAATGAGATAGGGCAAAGAATTGGGTAATGCGGGATACAAGTTAACACTCATGTTTTTCTCATTTTTTTAAAGAGATCTTGTAAGGGCGTTTAGAAGGGTCCAATAAATACTGAGCCATAGATAAAAGACTTTCTTGCATTTCTCCTGGAACTCTGGATGATGGTTGTATGACCTTCAATCATGCTGTATGTTTGATCATGCATGAACTAAAAAATTGCAATGAACTAAGAGATTGAAATATTAATTGACCAATGTTTTCATATCTGGAGAATTTCATTAGATGACATGCATAAGCATGATGCCTTTCTTTTAACTCTCGAACTTGATGGTACATGTGTCCTTCTCTTCCCCAACATAAACCCTCCCTCCCCATCTCTCTCCCACTTTTTCATACTGAAGGAAAAAGCTAATTGTTCTAATCTTGTTTCTCTAACTCACACTAGGCATGCGGTTCTTTTAGTTTATTCTTACATAGAAATATATAGAAATATATTATATACAAATCTAGCATATAAAAGACAATCTTCACATATCTTGACGTCTTGGAATGGTTATTGTTCTTTGATATCTTGAAACTGGTATTGTTTATGGCTTCTCAAGATTCCAACCAACTACTAAATGCTATTATGTTGCTTGTAATATTAAAGTTAGACTTTAACAGTATATCACTGTTGCTGATAAGTGATCATAATTCATGTCATTGTCTCAGAATTGAGGGCCCGAACATTAGCTCACTGGTGCCTTAAGTTTTTCTTTTAGTTATTGTTATTTGCTTAGCTTTTTCTGGTTTTAGTTCCTGCCTTTTCTAGTTTTGCTTGCCTCCTGTATGACTGAAATTTTGAATTATCTGAATAAATATTTTTTAAATGCTTGTATATGGCAACCACTTAAATGAAAGATTAGTTTTTCTATTCATTTTTCTTGGATTGGTAAAATCACAAGAAGGAAAAAAAAAATCTGACAATTGTTATTTGGATTCAGGAGTAAAGATGACAACTGTGAGGCTTACCTCTCCTTGTGTCATTAAAGCTGAAATCCCCAACCGATTTAAAAGTGTTATTGACAAGGCCCCAACATCTCTTGGATCTGTTAAGAGCATCTCCAAATCTTTTGGGTTGAAACGTACCTCCAATTACAGAACACCAATGGCTTTGTACAAGATTAAGCTTGTAGGACTAAATGGTGAGGTGAGCGAGTTTGAAGCCCCTGATGATCAATACATTTTAGACACAGCTGAGGAGGCAGGAATAGACTTGCCCTATTCTTGCAGGGCTGGCGCTTGCTCCACATGTGCTGGGAAGATGGTGTCAGGTTCAGTGGATCAATCTGACGGTTCATTCCTCGACGAGAAACAAATGGGGGAGGGTTATCTGCTGACTTGTGTTTCATACCCAACCTCAGACTGTGAGATTCACACTCACAAGGAAGGTGATCTCTACTAAGTATTTTACGATCAGAAATGAGTAGGATCTCTCAAGTTTGTGGTCTAGAACTCTTATCTAAATTTGTACCAATAAGGTTAAATGCTCTCACGGACAATTTGTTATCTAGTATTCATTTTTATGTTTGTGGCTGAATGCCATCTCGGTTTAGAATTTTAACCATTTTTGTGGACTGCCATAGTTGAAGTTGGAGCCCTGTGCTCTTGAACTACCAATATTATCTCTAAGTTTTATCGTGAGAAGAATGCAATTATCATAAGCAATCGATGCCAAGCTGTAATATGAAATGTAAGCTGTTGGAAACTTGGAATTGCCCCTTACTTTTGATACCAGAGCTTTAGAAAAATATGCCATTTGGTACTTACAAAAAAATTTACTTGACATTATGAAGTTTTAAAAGTAATGTATCATTTTCATTTAAATTTTAAATTTTAATACAATTCGGTACAATTTGTTACAATTATCTTATATGTACGTTTTTTGTTTAATAAAAATGTTAAAAATTTTTTAAAAATTTTATATCAATCGCATTTTTACGGTTCAAATAAAAATATATATTCTTAATTTATATCTGAAAAAATAATTATAGTATGTGAGTACAGATACAACTTAATATTTCTCAAATGTCACGCTTTGATATGATTAGTAAAATTAAAATTTGAATTTAAATGACATAATTTAATAGTTTATAATATAAATTATACGGTTTAATTTTAAAATTTTAAAAATTTATAGTATAAATTATACGGTTTATTTTTTTAACTATTAATTTATATAGTTTCTTCAAATTTAAATACTAAATATGTAATTAACTTTTTCGAGATTCATTAATATCATTAAAACTTCAAGTTTGGCACGAGTGTACATCTTGTCTTGTGGAAAAATGAAGCTTTTTTTTGGTCTGATCACAAATATCTCAACCAGTAATAATTTACAGACCCAGAGATTATTATTTTTAAGCTTTATGAGAAGAAAGAAAATATTATGCAAGAAGCTTAGCTTATGGAAGGCCTAAATCAGTCCAGTGTTGCCACTGATAGCAGGGAAAAAAAGATGACAGGAAGAGAAGGGAAAATTGAAAAAAAAAAAAAAATGGGAGAAGACGGAAATGAAAAAGGCTTGGGCTTCTAAACTTTGAAAAAGTTTTCAATCTTGGGCTTGTTCCCAATATGAAAGATGCAGAACTTCCCTATTCCTTACTGTGTAGTTACTTTCTTTTTTAAATTAGGTTTATCCCGTATCGTTTACATTTAAATTTAAATAGTGAATTGAATATAAATAAATTTTATAATTTTTGTGACATGTTTGATTAATTAATAAATTTTAAAATATTATTTATAATTATTTATTAAACTTAATAAATAATAAAAAATTAAATTCATTTATGACTTATTTGTAAAATATTTTATTTGTTTACGCAATTGAAGGTAAACAATATGAAAGAATTTTATTATATTTATAATTTTATTTATTATTGATTATTATTTTTTAAATTTAATAAATAAATAAAAATTAAATTTATTCACAAATTATTTACCAAGCGGAAATCAAAGTAAAATGAAGATCCCCAAAGAAACAACTTGAATCACTGTATGCTACCAAGAATGAGAGATCATGAGACAGTTGAGGATATGTAAAATAACAAGTGGACCGGAATTTTCACTTGACTTTTTCTGTAATAAAATAAGATGTTTGGGGAATGATAAAGCACCTTTTCATTGACCACAATTCCACTAAAAATGATGGAAAATACCAAAAAGTTTGTTCTATAATTGAAGGGAGTTCTCCTTCTCCTTCTAGGCTATTGCGAACTTAGGCAGCTGCACCTTCAAATTATCAGAAGCCCAAGCATCTTTTTCCTCTTACATATTTGTAGAAGTTCGTGTTTTTCTCACTTTACAATGGAGTGATCTTGAGTCAAAATATTCGAAATTGATTATCCCTCCAAAAGAAAGTTTTAGTCAATTAAAATTACACACCATCCAATGATAGAAACTAGGAAAAAGAAGAAAGGATGGAAATGGATAGCCTCAGAATCCAAGTGCTCAATGAAAGCATTATGTATGAGAGGAATTGATGACTGATCAGTGATCACTTTCATTCCTTCGACATTCTTTTTCTTTTCGTTTCATTCTCTTTTCCATGCAGCTCTTTCTTTTATCAGTGGGCAAATGACCCCCTTTTTTTTTTCGGAGTGGGACATTTTTTTATTCCATGGTGACTAGCTCCATATAACCACATAATTTCCAAGTTTCTCAAGTTCTCAGTACTAACTTTTCCATGTTATTTCACAGCATTTCATTTCATGCATGCATTATCTTAATTTATGGGGTCCCTTTTTTTTCTCAGAAAAGAGCCAAATATAGGCAAAGAAAGAGAAAAAGTTGGCTACATAATAGGCTTTTCAATAGCAAAACGAGCTGTCTTTTTAACATGAAAAATGGTCTGGAATCAAAATCTTTTGAAATCTGTTTTTCAATTAACCAAAAGTTCATTGTAATTTAATTCAACTTTTGGGTTATACAAAAGGCCACCATATCTATTTTAGAACCTAGCCATTACCCGTGAGATTTGCTTCGTCTTCTATACCAAGAAAGAGACGGCTAGCTAGAAAGAAAAGAAAAGAAAAGAAAAAGGGGAATCCATCTTAATAATTTCGAAATTATTTACTCAATAATGAATTTCATATTATCTAAAACTAATAAAAGATGATCAGTGCATTAATGAATTTCATATTATCTAAAACTAATAAAATACTTTGTAGCAGAATTATTTGCATTGTTTATGCCATTTTTTCATTGTTTGATTATTGGCAAAAAGATATGAAAAAATAAATAATAACTTCACGAACATTTATTTTCAATGAGTAGTCGCATAGACGAATATCTTAACAATTTTTTATTCAATTTGTTTGATTAAATACAGATCAAAGCTGCACTTTTCCATCTGGAAAGTTGAGTTCCAGAGTGGATTATTGGACTCCATCTGCACTTTAATGATCTGCCACACTACAATTTTTTGCAGCGAAAGCTCAACCAACCTACGGTTTCCCCACTATTTACACAAAGAAATTTCCAATTTAGAGTAGATAAATAAAAATGTATTGCGGGAGAATTAATTTACTGAGCCTTGTTCTTGATTTTCTTTATAAAAGAAATCATAGTTTGAGAATTGGAAAAGAAACAATCGGTGTCGTAATAAGTTCAACATTAGATTTATTTGGACTAATTTAATATTGTTGTTGTAATTGAAAATAATTAAATTAAAAAAATATGTTTAAAATAAATAATAAGAAAAATGTGGTTAAGAATGTTAGGTGTTAAAATAATAAAATATTAAAAATATATGATAATATAGTAATTTTAATCACAAAAGTTTTTTTTAACTGCAAAAACACTTTTTTATTAATTTTTTGATTTGGATCGCAAAACCGAACTTTTAAATTGAAAAATCATTTTTTTATTGTTTAAAATGAGGTTGAGCCAAAATTAATTTTTGAATGCAAAAGTTACTTTCAATAATAATGTTAAATTAGATTTTAATATTAATTTTTAAAAATAATTATATAACTAATTAAATTGAATTTCTAAGTTCAAACAATTTGCATTTTCACTGCTGATAAAGATGAGTTTTATGTCCATATGGATCTTTGTCATTCAACAGCTGGACAAACTTTTTCACAGTCATTGCCGAGTCAGATTCAAGTAAAATTGTTAGCTAGATATTAGAGAATTAATAAAGCTAAAAATTAACGGTCGGTCCATTAATGTATCAAGAATTTCAGCATATTTCAATTCATACATTGCTTTTTTAATTCTTATAAATCTTGTTGTATATTTCCAGAGACAAGAAAAGAAAAGAAAAGAAAATATTTTTGCATTAAAGTCTAAATGCTCAAATTCAGATACAAGATTTGCTAAAATATTCAATCATTAGATTATAACCTTCGAGATGTACGAAATAATTTTATTTATTTAATATGAAAAAATATATAAATTAATTTATTTTCAAATTATATTCAAATTTTTAAAATTTATAACATATATAAAATTTATAAATATTGATTTATCAATAAAAAATAAAATTTTTAAAACAACAAGAAAAAAATTATGTCTTTATTTTGAATATTTTTGTTTATAATAATATTTTTACATCTGTAAAATTATATCAAATAAAAATAAATTATGGCTTTTCTTAAAAAAATAAAATATATATTATTAAATGATAAATTAAATAATAAAAGAAGTATTAACACACTTTTACTTTAGTAATCTTGACTAAATTATTATTTAAAATATGAAAAATGTTAGAAAATATGTGAAAAAAAATAAATTCAAAAAAATATTATTTTTCATAAGTATGAAACTATAATAACAATAAAATATATCTTGAGAAAGAGTTATAAATAAAAAAAGTCAAATTGCAATAGTAATAGAATATACCTTGAAAAAAAGTTATTGAAAAAATAAAAAAATTGATGTATAACATATTATATTTATAATCTTAAATTTGTATAAGAATTCTTTAGTAGTAATTAGGATTACATAGATAATTTTTAAATTAATTTTTTAAAATTTAAAATGGATATAATAAGTAATAAAGATAATATTAAATTTTTTACATTTATTTGAATTATAAATTTGATAATTAGAGTTCAAATGGATATAATAGTTTTGATGATTTTATTATTTATAAATTTAAGATGAAAATTTTTAAAATTTTTAAAATCTTACATGAAATTACTTGAATTTTTAATGTCTTATATAAATTTTTTTAAAAAGATAATTTTTTAAATCAAGATAAAAAAATATTATTGAAAGATTTAAATAAACTTAATCTTTATAAATTTTAAACATGTTTAAAAGATTTTGATAATTAATTTTTTTAAATAAAGTTATTTTGTAAACAACTAAAATTATTTACTAAAAAAATAAAATATATATTTCACATATTTTATTTTAAAAAATATATGTCTAAATTGATTTGATTTTTAATTATAATTTAAATAATTTTGATATTTGAATAAATTTAAAATTATCTAATTTATAATTAAAAGAAACTATCTTATTTTTTAAAAAAATTATCTTATGTGTTATTTAAAATAATTATCCACATAAATATTTATGTGATAAATTTATTTATGTATGTTGTTATAAAAATATATATATATTAGATTATTTGAAAAAAAAAAAAAAGGTAGGAACCCAATAAAAAGTTACAACGTGAAGGATAATTTTAGAAAACAAATTTGGGAAACGTAAAGTACACGTGTGCTTGCTGAGGTGTCAGCCGACCGGCGTGATAAAAGCGAAAGAGACGATGATGAACACGTGCGCTCTATTTTAAGATTCGCTTCAGCATAAAAAAAATATTTTCTTTTTTAAAGAGGAACAGTAATTATTTTTAATAGTAATTTTGCTCTCAGATCCGACCCTATCCATTCTCCTTTTAAACCTTGGAAAAATCACTTTTTTAAAACGATAGTTACTGTGTTCATAATTAAAGAAAAAATATATAATTATTCATTATTATTTTCAAAAGTTCAGTAAAATTATTGCATTAAATGCAAAAAAATTTCTTTAATAAAAATCATCATTAGTTAGAGAGAGCCGTGACGCATTAATATTCCTAAACATTTATTCTTCTACTAAAATTATAGATTGTATTGAAGAATGTATTAATTAAATATATAAAGATATCGATTAATTTTATTAATATAATTTTTTTATATGTTGTAATTTTATTTATGTATAAGATATAAAATTTAATGTGTTGTTTTTGTTATATTTTATTTATCTAAAATTAGCAGAATTTTGTTATAATACAACAATATATAAAAAACAATCAAAGAATATCAATTTTAATAGCAGTCGATTCTAAACTAGTAGCATTAAAATTTCAAGCATTACATAATTCTTTATTAATTGAGTCCTGATTTGAGGTAACCCATAGAATCTTGACAGAATCCTTAATCCGATAAATAATTTGTGTTGTGTTCTTTTCCATATGTTTAATTAATTTATTTCTCTTCATATTTGACAAATACAAACCTTTCAAGCAATGCGTAACATAATTTTTTAATTTTTGTCTATTAAAAAATCCTTTAATTTTCAATAAAAAAACAGGGACAGATGTGGAAATCAAATAAATATGTTTTAAATTACCTTAAACAAGGTTAGTTAAGATAAAAACAACCGGCCGGTAATATGATGTGTAACTGTGTAAGAAAGCTACTGCCATTGAAACCCCGTAAAAAGAAAAATTATTATTATTATTATTATTATAAAAAAGTGCTATTTTCTTATTACAAGAACAGAGCACGTTGGAGAAACAGGGGAAACAAAGAGTTCTGCATATATAGAGAGGGAAACAGACTGCGTTTTGGTGACAGATGATACGTCGCCGCTGAAGGGGTTGGTTAAGGTCTTGGATTTAAACCCAGTTCAGATCAGTTATGGCTGCCGGTTCTCTTCTCTTTAGACTGCTTTTGGTTCTTTTCACTCTCTCAGGTTTCTATTCTTTGTTTCAAGTTTCAACCGTTTTCTCATTCCATTGTCGAGTTGCTGAAAGAAAAATGCTGAAAAGATAAGAACACAAAGGGAAAAAAGACAAGTGTTTTTTTATTAAAGTTTCAGAGTTTTCATTTTAGTAGTAACCCAAGAATCAAACTTTTTTTTTCCTCTGCTTTATGGCATTTCAAAATCCAATTGTTTTTCAATTATCTTTTACAATTTTCATGCAAAATAAATCTTGTATTACTCTTTCTTTAATTATTACTTGAGCTTCCTGCATTTCATTTTATATGGCTGCTAAATGTTCAGTATGCACATAAAGTTAGTTGATGATGATTTATTTTTATTCAAATAAACTGAAGTCTAATGCATGAGTTGGATTTTTTTTTTTTTGGACATGAATTTTGGGCTTCTTGACTAATATTTAAATGAATACTCATATTTTTAATCTGATATTTGCTTTTGGTTTTCCTCTTTTAATGTTAGCAAACTATAAATCTTTTACTCTGAACCATATTATAATCCATCTCTTGTTTCTTCTTGGGTTTATTTTATTTTATTTTATTTTTTATTTTTGATGTTTCTTTTTCTTTCAGCTATCCTTTGTGATTCACTTGTTTGTATTCTGGTTTCAGATTCACCAGTCCAAATCCTTGGTCTTGGAGTAGGAATCAACTATGGCCAAATAGCAAACAATCTTCCTTCTCCTTCACGTGTCTCCTACCTCCTCAGATCCCTCAATATTAGCAGAGTAAAGCTGTATGATGCAGATCCAAATGTTCTTGTTGCCTTCTCCAACACAAATGTTGATTTCATTATCGGACTCGGGAACGAGTACCTTCAGAACATGACTGATCCTATCAAAGCTCAAAACTGGGTTTTGCAGCGAGTTCAACCCCACCTTCCTCAGACCAGGATCACTTCCATCACTGTGGGGAATGAGGTCTTCAAAACCAATGATCATCAGCTATGGTCTTATCTCCTCCTAGCAATGCAAACAGTTTACAATACTCTCGTTGATCTTGGCCTTGATAAACAAGTAACTGTCACTACTGCGCATTCTCTTGATATCTTAAGTGTGTCCTATCCTCCTTCGGCTGGGGCTTTTAGGCAAGATCTTGGAGAATATCTACATGCAATTTTGAATTTTCACGCTCAGATCAAGTCACCTTTCTTGATCAATGCCTATCCCTATTTTGCATACAAGGATAAGCCAAATGAGGTGCCACTAGACTATGTGCTTTTCCAGCCTAATCAAGGGACAGTGGATCCAATAACCAATTTGATATACGATAATATGTTGTATGCTCAAGTTGATGCTGTTTATTCTGCAATCAAAGCAATGGGACATACGGATATTGAAGTCAGGGTTTCCGAGACAGGTTGGCCTTCCAAAGGGGATGAAAATGAAGTAGGAGCTACACCAGAGAACGCAGGACTGTATAATGAGAATCTGTTGAAAAGAATAGAAGAGAAACAAGGTACGCCAGGGAAGCCAAATGTGCCAATTGACATATATGTTTTTGCTCTTTTCAATGAGAATTTAAAGCCTGGTCCAGCATCAGAGAGGAACTATGGCCTCTACTATCCTGATGGTACCCCAGTCTATAACATTGGAGTGCAGGGTTATCTTCCTGAGTTGGTATATTCATCACCTGGCACAAAGAATGTAAGAAACGTACTCTTTGTATCCTTATTACGCCTTTACAATCTCATCTTATTTTGATGTTTTCGATAATAACTCAAGCATGTTTTATTCTATCAATTTGGAATGTTTTGCAGGCATTATCTGTCTCCAGCGCTCTTCTGATCTTGGTATTTGCATACTTGATCTCTGCTTGAAAACATGTGAATTTGGCTAGTAAGGAAGGGAGGGATCATAAGGGAAAACAGTATTGCTGGAGACAATTCAAATTCCAGAGGGCAGAAAATTTAGTTGAGTTATTCAATGCCTTTTTAACTGTTAGAGCATGCATCAATGAACAACCATCACAGTTATTCATCCCTATTTCTTGAAGTAGCAATGTGGTCCATGCTCACATACATGTGAGGCCATGATTGTTGGATACATTTACATGTGAGTCTGGATGGACTGTAGTGCACCAGAGCCTAAGCCTCAAATTAGTTGATCTTTCCTAGCTCATGTCTCATGAACTTGACCTGCAATAGGCTCATAGGATTTAAAATGTGCTGGCAAGTTTGGGTATTTTCATGTTTTTGACCTTGTTTCTAATCCTTTGAACTCAGCAAATATTTGGCATTGCGGCAGCTGAAGTATTCAGGTTTCAGGGTTTATTCATATTTAAGTGGGATTTCTTGTGTCATATTGGCCCATCAGGAGATTGGGACAATTAAGGATTCTATTTTCCAGACAGATGTATATATTAAGTTTTTTTTTTTTTTCTTTAAAAGAAAAAGGGTCTTCAAATCATCTGGTAAAGAATTTGGAATAATTTTGTTGTAAGGTTTCTACCCCATGGCATCCATAAGCAGGACCCCTTGAATGCTGTGGCTGTCAACTCCACATATGCACCAACTGGCTGCTGTGTAAAACTGCAAATTCATGACATTTTTTTCATTTAAAATATGGTAATGGGTCTCCAAGCTTCTTGTCTCAACTTGCAAAGTAATCATGCACGTGAATCTTTTCTGTGTTGAAATTCTTCTTTGTCTTCAGCTAGACAAAAGTCCAAATTGGCTTCCATCAAGAAAAGAGAAGCCATTAGAATCCCTCTAACTGCAGCCAAAATTGTCACATTATCTTTTTCTTTTCTTCCTTATCTCTCATGAAAACCTCCAAAACTAAAAGCCGGTGGCGGTGAGCTCTATCTAAAGATGGTTTGCTCTTTGTCTGCTGCTCTTTCCTTCCTTTCCCCAAAAGAGAATTCATGGCATCAGCTTTTGTTGTATCAATGTCCAATCCATGTCATTTTTCAGCTCTTTTGCCATCAATAGGCTAACACGTAAACCAAGTGTGGGTCCTCTCATCCAATGCAAAAATAGTTTTCTCTGTCAAATTAGGGTTCAATTTAAGCTGCCTAAATGTCTGCTACTCTTCCTTTGTTTTCTGATTTTTATTAAGCTCAATATCAAATATATATGTTTGAAATTCAATTTGTTTTAACAATTATCAATACCTAAAAAAATTAAAGTAGGCTGATAGCTTTCAACTTCATGGATCACGCCTTTGAATTATGGAAACCTAGCATCAGCATAGCCAATGGATAAGATTGACAGATAGACGAATTTGTTTGACTTTTCAACCCTACTGGCCGCCCTAGTAACATCAGTTTTTGATCCTTGGTTGGTTCATGCTAGCAGAATCAAACCTGAAAAACTTCGAAGGCAATTGTAATGAAGCAGTCCTACCCATTTACCAACATTAGCCATATCTTATTTTGCATGATCCAGTGAACATCAAACAGGTTTCTTCCTTGGTCCTAATGTTAGACTTTTCACCAACATATGGATTTAGTTTGGCTTTGATCTTCAGACATCATGAAAAATTTATGTGGATGAGGAAGTATCAATCTACATCCCCGAAAAAGAATGATGATAAAATCAAGGAAATCGACTAAAACCTGCCTTAAGACAACTGAATTAAAATCATTGAACCAACAAATTTGGATTTTATTTTTCATTCCATAAATATGATTGTGATGGGTTGCTTCATTTGTCTGCAGGGAGGTAAAGCACTGATCATTATTTCCAACGGAGGAGAGCATTAGTTTTATAAACTTTGGAAGGTGATAATGTGCTAGGAAAAACAAAATTAGCCAAAACAATTATTCAGTAACAGATGATAGTTGAATTCAAATTAAAGAAACATAGACATAGATTCTTTAAAAAGAAAACCTAATAAAAGGAGAATTTGGTGAAGATTTTACAGGCCTTCAGCTGGTTTCCTTGTTGTTCTCTGGTTCACTACTACTAGGTGGTACTGGGATGGGATTCCATAGTTGCTGAAATAGATTGTTTTAGTTTTGTCATATAGCATTAAAAACTTTATTGTTTTCAGTTCATTTGAGAATGTTTTTGATATTCCTTCTTTCATTTTTTTTCCTTCTCATTTTTCTTTATTTGTACATGATTAGGAACCATATCAAGAGATTATGATGGATATGCTAGTTTATGTAATGGAAAGTAAAGGTGATAATTTGGAAGACATTGGGTTGAAATATTATTGAACATAGTAACCTCAACAATTGACAAAATCCAATGTTTTTAAGGCATTAAGTTGTTAGAAATTTGTTTTTCAAGACATGAAAAAATGAAACGGGTTGAATCCCAAATGCTTTTATCTTAAGTAGTTGAGCTAATAATGTAGATCTGATTGATGTTCATGAATCAAGCACGAGGATTAAATTAATCATCTTGATTGATATTGGATTTAAATTCATATTTATTAAATATTATATTTTAAGAATAACTATGTGAACTAAATGAATTAAATTATGATGAAATAAATTTTTTTTACGATTTACATGAATGATGTATCTTCGTGATAATCTTAACATAAAATTTTTTACTGTAAAATGTGTCTTTGGAATCCAAATCCGTCATGGCATGCACTAACAAATTCAACAAGGTTTATTATCTTCCCATACAATTTAAAATCAAGATATGAAGATTAATGGTCTGTTTTAAGATCACGATTTGAGCAACAAAAAATCTTCAAACTACACAGATCCCATAAAATAACATAAATGGCAAAATTATAGATGCACTTCAACCATTTTGCATACGAAAATGCCAAGCCTCCAGTAACATTCAACCACGTTCAAAACCAAGCCATGGCTACAACGAATACAACAATGTCATTAAAGAAGAAATTTATCTTCCTACGGGATGGCTGCATGGCAACATGAAATTCCCCCCGTCCCTTCATTATTTCTCATCCTTTCTGGCAGCTTCCTCAATCTCTAAGTCAAACTTCCCCCTTCCCTCTTAATCTCTTATCCAAAAATCTATTTCATGGGAACTCCATGGTAGGAAAAAAAAAATGAAAGTGAAAAACAGTGACATTTGCAATTAATCCACAGTAGAACTACAAGAAGATTTAAGAGAACAGCTTTGATTCCACCAAAAAGGGTTGGAAAGGAGAAGGTACTACCCAAAAAATGCTACAAAATAATGTTTCTACTCATCGTTCTTCCAGTATACAAAAAATGGGCTCCTGTTTCTCCTTGTATACGAAAATGGGATCCTATGTTTAGTCTTTTCACAAAATCATTTGGTTCCTTGGACTTAACAGGTTTATTCTCATGTGAATCATGTTCTAAAATAATTCCCCTTTTATTCTTCAGAAACCTTGAAAAATGTATAGGATAAGATCAGGTTGTTGATACCATCCATTCGGGGATCTGTTTCAAACTCAGGATCTATGTAGAAGAAAACCTGCAACAAAATACAAGCAAGTCAATGATCACAAATGAATTTGGACTTTGAAACAGAAAACGACTTAAAAAAAACACACTTACAGGCATGTCAATCTGCTCTCCAGGAAGAAGACGCTGCTCCTCAAAGCAAAAACACTGTATTTTATTGAAGTAAACTGCAGCCTGAAAAAGGAGCAAGAAAAATCAAGCAAGAAAGCCCAGTCAAAATTTTAATGCCTGCCAGGCAATAATGATAGATTTTACCGGTAACTTAATTTGTTTCAACATAATGATTTTTTTTTTTTTCACTCCAAAGATCTCTTTTCTTCCCTTTTCTAGCTCATTATCACTTCAACAAGCTCATAATGATCCACACCCAATGGCTATTTCAGCCAACTTGGAGAAAAGCATAATCAAACTACGTAAAACATCCAATTGAAATATATTAAAGGATAAACAAGATGCCAACTGTTACTAAAAGCATAAAGACAACTATTCTTTTTCACGTTCCTCAGCGTCCATCTCTCAAGACTTTAATACCGTACTTAAGTTTCCTTAAATTTCTTTAAAACGAAACTGGAATTCCAACTTGCCATTGGAGATTTTAGACCTATCTTACACAATTAGATAGGATGATTGTTTTTACTCATTTTTTTTCTTGCAAAAAGAAAATAACAGTAAGAGTCTAGTGCAATAATTCTTTCCTTTAATAGTCCGTATCATCCAATTCAAACAGTTAATCTAGCATTGACTCCAAGCAACAGATGCATTTAATCACAAACTTGAAGATAATGATTTTATACAGACTCTTCTAGGCTGAGACCACAAGTAAAATAATATTGCGCATTCTCGTATTGTCACAACTAGAAGGCCCAAAAGCAATACTATAAACCTAAAACAATGACACTAGCAACATTCAATTCAAGCATATTATATTGGGGTCTAGACATGGATTCACAAGGATACCATTCAAAAAATTTAGAAAGAAATTTAGGCACAGAGAGAGAGATTATAATGTATGTCATGGAATCTACACATCAGAAGACGATCAGTGAGTAGTTGGCAGGCAGAATTTTCTCAATCCAAGTTAGAAGTGTAGCAAAAAGAAAATGACAAGGATTAACTTGAAAATTTGAACAATACTATAGAAAGAAGTAAATACCATAAGTCAAGCTTGTAAAAGATTCAGCCAAAGCCAGAAAGAAATGGATAAAAAATCCTAAAGGCTCACAAAAAAGTAATGCACGAGTGGTCAACCAAATCTAAAAACATGCCAATAACTTTACTTAAAGAAATAACAGATAATTCACAGGTCCAAAGCATGTCTAAGTATCAGTACCTTCATAGGGGTGACGTTATACGTAGAGACACCTGTTATGGGTGTTGAGCTTCGGTTTTCAGCAGTATAAAATGCAAGGGCACTTTCTCCAGGCTTGACTCTCACCTAGCAGAAAATAAATAAATAAATAAAATAAAGGATAAAACAAAGCCATCACTTTACAATGCCCAATCCACAGAGAAAACATAAGCACCTCTCTTTGAGTTGGAACAAATTTCCAGGGCATTCCATCCGCCACATCAGCATTGAATTGGACTACTATCTCCCTGCAAGGATAAAGGCAAATTTCTCAAGATCAAAGACATAGAAGAAAAAAAAAAAAAAGAGCTCCATTGTGATAAAGTCCAATGTTTCATAGTAGCATCTCTTAGAAATGCATAAATTAAATTGAATTAAAATGACCAACTGGCTGTTGTGAAATGATGAATAATCCTAAACCTAACTGCCTCGCTCCCATTTGTTATCCGGTTATACTGAATCTGTATTCTGTATGAAACGGGTGTATAATTAGAAGCCAGGGTTACCTTACAGTCAATCTTATCATATATAACAAAGCATTCCACTCCCCTCTTGCTTTTGGTGCAAAAACAACACCAGCCTATGACCATTAGGGCTGTAGTTTAAGTTGTTCTCCATCACACTCGAGAAAACTGTTTCTTCCAACAAATAGGTTTTCATTTCTTTTCCTTCCTTCTTCTAAAAAGAACATGCTTTATATTGAGCAAAAAATTTCATACCGTAGAAGTGCAGAGAAAAGGTTACTGCAGTTGCTAGAAAGCCCTAGAAATATTATTGAAAGTCATTTTTGTCTCATTCTTGCATAAATCTCACTTGAAAAAAAAATAAGCATGAAAATAACAAATTTAAAGAAACATATGCATATCTAAGCAGACAATGTCAAAAACTAGAATCTGACTATGTCAAAAACTAGAATCTGACTATGTCATAACTCATAAGTAGAAAGAAAACCTCAATCAAATTATGCATAGCTATCCCAACCAAATTAAAAGAAAGGATATTATGATTATAATTATGAAAATTAGAGATTAACAAAAGCTCTTACATCCAAAGCCAAGAAAGCGCACCTTGTTGCTACTGTTCCATCTTTTTCATGCCGCACAATCTTTTCTTCAACACTCTAAAATAAGAAAAAAATATTTGTTCTGGTTGAAAAACCAACAGAGAAATAAATTCTGAAATAATAAATAGATAGGAAAAGAATACATAAAACTCAGCTTCACCTCACGACGTTGGATAGTACCACCAAACCCAGTAACCTGGCAGAATCTTCGATACAAAGGAACAGCAGCATAACTGCTTCCCACCATAGCAAAAACTAATACCGTAAGATACAAAAGAGTCTTTCTGTTTTGCTCTTTGGAAGCATTGGAAGCATGTGAGGAATAGTGGCGCTGAATGCTAAAGGGAGATAACCTCCAAAAACACCGAGAGCCATAAGGGTGGAAATCAAAAGACTTTGTTGGAGGTCTTGTGCTAAATTCACATCTTCGCATCAAACCCCAAGTATTGTTGCCACACCCAGTAGAAGCTTTAAAGAACTTGTAACTCGGATATAAAGCATTAGGAAGAAACCTGGATCAACACAAAGATTTCCATCCCGGTGGTACAAAACCCGGAAAAGCGTGCGTAATTCAGGTTGGGGTGAAAAATGAAATTGTAAAAGAATAAAATTTTAAAGGCTGAGTGTACCCAAATGATTAACCTTAAAAGACTAAAGAATAAGATAATGAGTGAATAATTTGGATTACTAGTCTTTCACAACCAACCATGAAATGTAGGTATTCCAAAAAAAAAATTCTGAAGAAACTTGTCTTAGTTCTCCAAGTAAAATTCCCAAGCTTCTGATAGAAACAAACATAATTATAACGCCCAAATATGTAGATTGGTAACACGGGGATTACCTTGATTGATGAGACAAAAATTGTAGATTCTTTGTATAGTTCAAGAGAGTGATTTTACTGGAAAGTCTTGACCATGACATGATACTAGCCACCTACGTATCTCTGCACCTGCAAGTGCAAAAGTGAGAAATGAACAGTACAGCAATTTAATTTCAGTTTAGTTTCTAAAAAATGGACAAGGTAGAACGTGACAATAAAATCAACAATAGACCAAAAATCAGAAACGATAAAAGAAAGAATATATATTCATTAAAATCAAACACAAGAATACTTTTTTCTTGTTTGATGAGCTTTTCTTTCACAACCAAAACCTTTTCCAATGATAAAAATGTTAAACAAATTAATAGATTTAAAAAACTCCAACAATTTTCCCATGTCATCTATGTAGCAGATTAACGACGATCATTTTAGTTTCAATGGAGCAAGCAGTATTTGACATAAAAAAAAAAAAAGAAACACAATTTCTGATACCTTATTATCAAACTAATCAAAAGCTCACCAGATTCACTCAAAAAGACCCAACTTTTAAGCTTTAACCGATCAAATAAAAGAAACCCATATCAGCAATAAGGACATTAAGATAGAAATAAATGTAAAAATTGAAGATATTAATTCTAAGAACTTTATACCTTGAAAAGAGTATTGACAAACACTGAAAATGGGATCTCAAACAGGAGTAATTTTGGGTCTATTCTTAATCCTCTGCCTTCGAGTTTCTGGCAAAGCTGAAGGCCTGAAAGTGCGGGTAACTGAAAGGAGAGCTTGAGCCTGGAGGGGGAAAGTGCGATGGAAAAGAAAATGTAACAAAAAAAAAATGAAATAATCAAGGTTAATTTGCACAAATGGTACTTAACAATAGCGGAATGTTCAGTTTGGTCCACATTTAGTCATTTACACTATTCTATTTATGGAAGGTGCAAAAAATATATATAAAAAACAATTTTCAATAGTTAAAAATTAGAAACTTGATTTTTTTTATTACGTAATGAGTGTTTTTTTTTTGGCCAAAGCTAATCAGTTTAATAAAATAAAAAACAATTATTTATACAAGAATAACTTGTTATCATTTTTTTCTACCTATATATTCGAATAATTTAGAAGTTAAAAAGGTCAAAAATATCTTTAAATTATAATTTAATAATTATTTGAATTTTTAATATTTTGTTATAATCAATTAAATCTTTAATTTTTTATTTTAATTCAATTTAATTTTTAATAAATAAAATCTAATTACGTGATAAAATTTAATCAATTAATTTTTAAATTACAGTTAATTTAACCGTTAAAAGATTTGAGAGAGAAGGATAAAAAAATTTGAAAAAAATGAAAAAAATTATTTTATTTAATTTTACATATATTAAGTGAAAATTTTTATTAATTTTATTGATATTATATAAAATTTTATTTTAATTGATAAAAATATTAATAGTTTTAACTTTTTATTCAAATAAAAACTTAATATTAAAAGAATTAATTGATTATAATATAAAAAATATTTGAATAATTTTTTAATTATAGTTCAAAGATTTTTTTATACTCTTCAGTCAAAATTTAAAATTCTTATTGCATAACTAAAAAATTTGTAATTTCATGATAGCTTAGCATCCATAGAAAACATAGTTACTCAAATCCAACCTTATATTTTATGTTTCTTTATAAAACAAAATGCCAAAAACAAAAAATCTCAGTCCAAAGGGAAAACTCTATGCAGTTTGTAGCCTAAATCTCATGATTATCTTTTTTATTTTTTTGGTAAGTAAATCTCATGATTATCATTAGCCATTTATGGCAAGTCACAAAAAATATGAGATTGTTCTTTGTACTTTTCTCACAAAATTTATTAAATGATACGTTTCAAAGAAAATAAATGTCAAATCTAAATATAATTTAATTAATTTATATAATTATTGTAAAAAAAAAAAAGATTCAATAAATTTAAGATTTAAATTCTATTCATTTTATTTCGAAAGTACGACATCATGTGTGCAAAAAAAAAAAAAAAAAAAGAATAAGTTGTAGCCTAACTCAAATGATTGAAATCAAGATCATAATTAATATTAGTGTTGTAATACTAAGTGATCAATCATATGCAACAAGAAATGGAATGACTATAGACATGAATGAATCGTAAGTAAGCGTTGCTGAACCAGTATACATTGGATCCTTTTCCTTGAATTTTTCAGTCAAGCCCTGAAACACACAAGAATAATGATAAATTCATATTCCCATAATTTAACCAAGAAATTCAATCTCCTATCAAATAAATGTGTAATCGTATGGCAAAAGAAAGCATAGCAGCAATGCCATTTAATTGTGAGCATCTTAATAAGATCAGTGAGCCATATTAAGCCACATATGTAAGTCACTAATTCTAGATCGATGCAATCAGCATTTGATTTAATGGTAAGTGTATGTATTCCCATACTCAAGGAATTATTAATCAAGATAGGTGCAATCAAGCATTTGACAGGAACAGTCGAACATTTGACTTAATAGTAAATGAAAGAATCCGGGTATTCAAAGAATTAGGTTCGAATTTCCCCTCATCCCAAAAAAAAAAGAAAAAAAAAAAAGAGATAGGGAAACTATCTACTACTAAGCAAGAATTTTCAAGATGAATGAAAAGAGTTAAAAAGGGGGTGTGCAATCTCTCACCTTGACAATCATCCCACATCTGCAAATCAAACAGAAGATAAGAAAACACCAGTCAGATTATAGATTATCACATTTCAAATCTTTAAAGGAAAAAAGTATGTTGAAAATGAAGAGAAAGGAAGAATGATTATTGTAGAGAAGAAGCCTTACTCAACAAAACTGTCAAAATTGAGTTCAACCCTCCTGCCACTTCCATTGTCATACTTGGAAATTATAACCTGAAGGACAGAAGGTGGAATTGCATACCCAAGACTGAATAGAGCATCCCTCAATTCCATCAAATCAATTTTCCCACTCCTATCTCTATCAAATCTCTCAAATATGGCCTACAAATTTGAATCCATGAAAGTCAATTAAGTGAATAAAAATGTCAAAATGATATTAACATGAATGTATTAGAAAAATATATGAAAAATGTTAAGGTCAAAATCCATTCTGAGCAAATGTTTGATCACTTACCCGCCAATGACCAAGGCAACTCCACAGTGCAGCAAACTCTCTTGGCCCTGAAATTGAAAATTTTTGCAACAATCATTTAATCAAACAGTCTCCAAAGGAAAAGGAAAAGTTGCAAAAGCTAACAAGTGTCTAAGGGCTATTTCTGAAATTCCTTTTACTTGGAATACAAGCAATAATTGATTATGAATTTGAAATTTTTAATACATAAATGTATTTTCTTGGATAATAACCTTGAAAAGTATCTTCAGACATTCCTCAACAAGATTTGAAAAAAAAATTATAGAATAACCAACAAGATCCTCTGTCTATAGAGAGCATAGCTGTTTATTTGTCAAGAGCTATTGACAAAAGATTGACATTGTCAGGTTGTTCACACACACAAAGAAACTAATTTTTGTGCAGATTTCTTGAATAGTGGTAGCTTTGAATTGATGAATTTGCAAAATCTTCCTGATGTTTTGTTTAGGTTTATGCAAGATGACTTTCTGTGTATTGCAAAGCTTACATCCTGTATTGTTTAAGCAGTTTTAACCATCTTCATCCCTTAAAAAAAACCAACAAGGTAAGTGAAAGGAAAATTCTTGAAGTATAAGAATCCAGAAAGTTGCAAGAGGTGATAATTATTTAATTGAATGGTTCAAGGTCCAGGAAAGGAAAGCAAAGCAGAAAGCCAAAAAATTATTGGAATAAAATCAATACATGAACAATCACGTGAAAATGACCTAAAAGTGCCATCATACCCAATAAAATTTGAACGTAATAGCTTTACATTTAAGCACATAAAAAAAAAAAGAGTGAATGTTACCAAGGCAATTCAATTTTCAAAATTTTTTATTTTATCAACAGTTTATGGTAAACAGAGATTTTAAGACCATTAAATCTTTAAATCAAGTCTCATTTATGCAGATAATTTCTTCAAATTTATATTGGAATAATTTTTTTCTTGTACGTCCATTTTTCTAAATATCAATGAGGAAACAAAAACAAAAAACAATAGAAAACAAACAAATGAAGACATAAAAGAAACTAAGTTACCAATTCTGAGAGAATCATGAGGGTTCTTGAACAAGAACATGAGCAATCTTATAGTCCTAATGTTAAACCTTTCGTAGCCTGAAGACAGAGCCTGTTGCAACTCATTTTCATCGATGAATCCACTTCTATCCCTATCCACCATTTCAAACGCCCTTACCACATATGGGTTTGTTCCTGCTGGAAACCCATTCTGCCCATAACTTGAAGGCGGATGTTGTCCGTAGTGGCCGTGACTAGGAGGAGATCCATGATGATTATAAGGATAAGTCTCGGTTTCCTGCTGCTGCTGTTTCTCGTAGGGCTCTGGAGGGAGCGTTGGTGCTGATGGTGCAAAGGAATGAGATGGATAGTGCCTTGAAGATGCCAATTTTTTTTGTTCAAACCCGGAAGATGCCATTGATTTAAAAATATTCTCTTTTCTTGGATTTTCCTTTTTAAGGGTATCTGATAAATTCAAGAAAGTATTTCACTTTCAAGATTTTTGTGCACAGTTTTCCATTGGAGATGGCTTTGTTTAACTTCGCTTTTCTTTGATCTTTGAAGGTTTGATTTCATATATATATATATATATAATTAAAATAAATGCGTCTTCAAATGGACTGTCAAATATTAAATTTTAAGTGAGGTTGAACAGTTCTTGATTGTAACATGCGACATTAACGTTCACAAAGACGCCCTTCTCCTCGATTTCGCGGAAATCGCTCGCCACGTAACATGAGCTCCAATCTTTGTCGTCTTTATTAGTTTTTATAACTTCGAAAGCACTCGAAGAATTGAATTCTGGGAATTTAAGACTTCCCTGGCTGGTTAATTCAAGGGAATATCGTTTTCTTCTTAGGTTTTGTTAAATGAGAAATGATTGATCGGGCTTCTTGCACAGCTCAAGAAGAATGCTGGGAAAAGGGATGAGCAGCAGTCTTCCACCGAGATTTTGAATAGCTGTCCGAATTCAAATTGATTATGTTTCACCTCTTACTCGCAAAAAAACAATTAATCAATTCTCAATCATAGCCTTGCGGTTCGAATCATCCATATAATATAAATAAATAAATAAACAAAACTCCAGATACTTGATATCTTTTTCTTTGAATGAGATCTTAATTCCAGCATCGGTTTCCTTAGATTCCTTACAACTCATAATCCCTCTTTTTTCCTATCAATTCCTCCACCACCGCAAACCCCGGTTAGAAGAGTTATCTGGAAGGAGCGGAAGCAAAACCCAAACAGAAGAAGATGAAGCAAAAGCATGTTATAAACATAGGCATATCACTAATTAAAAAAGATCACACCTAAAACACAAATAAGAATACCAACAGGAGTGAATCAACAAATTAACTTAAGATGATTTCTTCGACACACTCTAAACAGATTATGACTGAAAAATGAACAATTTGAGGAGACTACAAGGGAATATGATTAAATACACTCTCCATCCACCGCTATAATAATTTAATATGAACAATCAATACGGGCGATATCGCCGACTATCATTGCTGTGTTTTCCCCTGTTGCTTGAACTACCACCAGTCTTGCCACCACCCCTACTATTTCTCTGATGTATGGTTGGGCTTTGAGGTTCAGCTCCCGGTTGTTGCCTGCATTGACAGATGGTCAAGGTTCAATCTTTGGGCACATATTATAAGATCGAAATAACAGCAAGTCACAACAGAACTATCATGTTTTTGGGTGGAAATTACAAACTGCACCCACCTGAGAGTTCAGGTCACCCAGTCATCTAGTGACTAATTGGCCCCAAGACAGGCTCAAAGTATTCAAGTGTGCAACAGTGTAAATATTCACATAGCCCTTTTGCAAGCTAAACCACAAAGTGTGCAAGTATTCATTTTATATGACATTGATAGACCTAGCACTTCATGTACTTGTACTTATATTTAGGGATGGCAGCTCAATCCGTCTCTAACAAGTTCCGATCTGATCCAACCTCTTAAAATCGAGTTTTTTTTTTTTTTTTAAATTGAGTTTTGGGTCAGGTTGGGTAATTGTGAAAAAAAACAGTTGAGATCAAGTTTTAGGCAAATTTGCCCCGCCCTGCCCCAACCCAATATATATATATATATATATATATGTAAATTATTTATTTAATTTTATATTTAAAGTAAAATTAATAATTTATATTAAAAAATAATATTTTATTAATTTCGGAATGAGTTGGATCAAGTACAATATACAATATCGGGTTGGGTATTAAAAAAATCATTGGGTCAAGTTTGTGCATATGGGTATAAAGTTGGGTCGGGCAACAACCTGCTCGGACCTAACCCATCGCCATCCCTACATGTATTTATCTATTTTGTGTCTAATATGTGTGACACACAAAAATTGTCATGTGGCAATTTATATTGACATATCAAACACAAAACATATTTTTTTATTTTTGTATCTTTTGTTAAAATTTTAGACTGTATCATTTTCGTATTTTTTTTTTCATATCATATTATTGTTTGTGTTCAAAATTGTCAGTCTAGACATTGGCCTTTAAAGTTTTTATGTAAATGGTTGATTTTACATACTTGCTAACCCAAATACAAATAATGGGTTATATCTCAGCTGGTTACCAGACACTAGACACTACAGCAGCAAAGGGAAAGCAACGGGTCAAAGGAACTGAAAAATCCTGCTTTGTCATTAAGAGAAGAGGATATAGATTTTCAAAAGTTCAACATATTGGGTAGAAAATGTAGTTATAGAACTTACAGAACGTATCCAATCCGGCCATCGGGTAGAAGCATTGGCATCATTGACATGCCAGTAGGAGTAGATCCCCTTCCATAGATTAAGGGCTGCATGTGATGTATATTTTTATATCAGATAAATGTATGAAACTCATAAAACAAGTAAACAAAAGGATGATTAAGAGATTAAGAGCATTCTATTATCCTAACATTGGATCTTGACTTGCACTGCAAAGGTCAAAATACAGGTATTACATCCTTCACTATACTGCTCACAGAGCAAGATTAACATGACAAACTTAAAGACATCCAACATGTGGGAAGTGGAGGTGCAAGGTTTCAAACTAACAAACTTTTGACCCATTTCCTCAGGCACCCACCACCACCCGCAAAAGGAGAACCTAGAAAACTCTGTTTTTCGAAATGTCATCTTTCTTTGAAAAAAAAAAAATCATATCCAGAAGAAAAACAAAGCTAAAACAAGACCAAGATTTCAAAAACATAGAACTTTACACAATAAATGCCAAATATAGGACATATCCAATATATCTTCCAAAGGACCTGCGTCAGTGGAACCCTAACTTAACAATGATCCTTCTAAACTAAACAGGGTAAAGATCCGGTTCAGACAGAAATATAGCAAGACACATAAAATAATAAGCCACAACATAAGAATATTTAACAAGGATATTCCCCTACACTCCAAATAGGTCAAATGCAGAGGTAGAATGAAAATGAAAATGAAAATGAAAAAGAAAATACAAACAATCACCTGCAGAGTATTGAGAAAAAATAATGAAGTAAGATACAGAAGCTGTTGAACACGAGCCTACAATGCACAGAGACAAATATCTCACCTGTGCAAGGCCTGCAACACCGTATCCTGTACCTAGAGCACCATAGGCACCTCCAACCAGACCATACCCAACCTGAGGTGGATAACTAGGAAGAAAACCTGAATTCTTAGAACCTGACCCCCCAGAAGTCTTTTGATCTGATTGTGGCTTTGCAAGAGAACATTCCACAATTTGGCCTGAAAACAGAACAATAACATTCAAAATTACATCCACTAAACAAAAAGGCAAAAAGGATAAAAACTCAATAATCACCATCAAGTTCATATTTTTCTGTGTTCTTCAGTGCTTTCATGGCACAAGATCTCTCTGCAAAATGAACAAAACCAATTCTATTTCTCTCTTGTCCAGGTTTTGCTGGAGGCAGAACCACTTTTGTGATCTTTCCATGATGTTCAAATAGCTTCTTTAACTGATCTTGTGTCACATTCTTTGGCAAATTCTTTACATAAACTGCCTTTACCTGCAAAAGACAGGTTAACTTTGATTAAAAAATTCAAAATACGATAAGACACCAAAAAATAAATTGCGATCAAGGTGATAACCACCCGAAAAGAAAACTGCTTCACAAAGTGGAGGAAATACTTGACATATCAAAAGAAAGTTCAAGTAACACATCAATGAAAACAGGGATAAAAAGTCAATGCAATCATATAGAAAAGTTGCAAGAAATTAACAATTGTAAAAGCTATCAAAAGACAAGGGACAGCCAAATGCAAGAGAATCCAGCATTGTGAGCGTTTGGAGAGGGCCAGATTTACACAGCCGTACACTCACTTGCTGAGAGGCTGTTTCTAATTGAACAAATAGCCTCCAGGTCAAAATGAAGTGACCTTAATGTTGTGCTGCACTCACCCTCTAACAAAAGATATAAGATAAACAACTATTTAGCCAAATCCTTGGAACAGACACACACCTTTTCTCCTTACACAGAAAAAATGAACCAACAGCCCTTAATTTGGGAGAAACAATAGATAAGAGCATAAGAGTTAGATAAGGTGATTGCTTCATGTGAGATGCTTCCACGTTATCAATATACATGATACATAGAAGAATGTGCATGCCAGCTTCAACTCAAAAGAGTGAGATATGGAGCAACAAACTCATCCGCGGAGACAGCATGAACACATAAACTGCCAAAAGAAGCCAGCAGGAAGCCAGGAAGGAAAGGAGACCAACTTAATGATACCTGAGAAGCAGCAGAAGAATCAGCATTTTTAGGATCAGCCCAGCTCACAGTAGGAGCATTATCACCCAGCCTGAATTCCGGGTTCATCATCTTCTGCCTTGAATAATCAGCACATGCATTGTTATAGTACTCAACAAAGGCAAATCCCCTGTTATTACTTGAGTTCTTCATATCCTGCAAGCACAAAAGCCCCTCAGAGACTACATTACCACTGAACAGCCCCTCGAGATCAACAGTAAATCAGTAACCAATAGACTACAATACAAATGCCATTAAACTAACCTTCACTAATTCCAAACCAGTAACTCCAGGCCCAACCTCTGACACAACCTTCCTCAGGTCTTCCTCGCCCCAGCTTCTGGGAATATTACCAATAAACAATCGATGCTTTGATTGGGATGTAGAACATCTAATTTTTCTACCCTGAGAGAGAGAGAGAGAGAGAGAGAGAAGCAGCAAAGTTATTCAGCAACCAAAGCAACATACTTGAGAATATCAAGCGCAAGAACATTGTTGTCAGAAACAAAGAGAAAATTGGGGGGGGGGGGGGAGGATGGGTACTCCCTATGAGATTGTTAGTCATCTTTAAATTTTATTGGCTTAGCTAACATGTTCGTCTATAGTTACATATATCACAGCTAATAATCTGTAAGTTGCCTTTCACGTTAAGAGGCCCATGCAACATTTTTAGCTTGGATGATATTAACATATACGTGAGGCATAAGAAGACTCATCACCTTAAATTCGGCATTATTTAGCCCATCAATGGCTTTAAAGGCCAATTCTATGTTTCTAAAGGTCACAAAAGCAAAGCCCTTGTTTTCACTTGAATCTTTGCCTTTCATAATCCGAACCTACCATCATAAAGTACGACGTGTCAGTCTTTATCTCAAGAAAAAAATTATAGTTCCTCACAAAAAGCAAAAGAGAGTACCTCAGTAACTTCTCCAACAGATTCACAAAAGCCTTTCAAATCCTCCTGGGAAACATCAGGTGGAATGCCTCCAATATATACTTCAGAACCATGTGGAGGGCGAGCAAGAAGCTCAGCATGTTTCCTCATTTCATCCCCATCTTCGAGTTTAGTCTCATCAGCATCAGCCCCATTGGCATTTTCAACATCCTGATCTTCTTCTTCAGCCTCTTCTTCCACCTCCTCTTCTATTTCTTCCTCTTCCTCTTCTTCTTCCTCTTCTACCTCCACTTCTTCATACTCCACCTCTTCTTCCATGGTCTCCTCAGGATCGTTGTCTTCATCAAGATCAACCCTCTCGTCAGACTCAACAGGCTGTTCAGGCTCAAATGGTCCTCCAGATTCCACTGACTCAGCAGCAGTATTTGCCTTTGGCCTTGGCATCTTATGTATCTATTTAAACAAGCTTGCAAGGCAATTCTGAAGAAGGCACAGAGGCCAGAAGAATTCAAGGGAAGAAGTATACACATATTGAAAGGAGGAAACAAAATGATGGCCACAAGGAGTTTCAGCTATGTATCTCAATGGAACCCGTGTCTTGAGATAAGACTCAAAGGGGGTTGCAGGGTTAAAGACTTTCACCAAAGGCATAATTAAGCAGTAGATTTTAAAGAGAAAGGCAAAAGAATGATAATTAAGAGGCTTATGAAGTGGTGCAAATTATCAAGGAATGAATTTGCTCAAATCAGAAAAAGTCACAAGACTGCTGTCCAAAAAAAATATTTAAATGTTTAAGCTTAAGCCAGCTTCATTCAAAAAGTAATGCGAACTGACAAAACAAAATTACAACATAAAAGCAGGCATGACTTACTCAGATATATATATATATATATATATATATCAATTAGAAAAAAATGAGATTACCATGGAAAAGGAAAATCAAGCAACACTGCCTAATGACCAAAAATAATACCAGTCCCCAACTAAATACACCATCCCTACACCCTGTTAATAACTTAACATATAACCACAGAGATTCTTGCAGATATCATAGTTTGTTCGAAAGAAAAAAAATGATTCTACCATCAATATAAACAAGTTTTATGATAGTCCACACTTAGTCTCTAGAATGTGATTCAGCCTTTGACAATTATAAAGAATAGTATTAACTGTTGCATTAAAAAAATTGAAAGGCTTCTAAAACTCAATTAACAAATCATCTTAACATGCCCAAAAGACAACCCAGACAACTTATATTCCTATTTCTATGTTTTGGACTAAAAATCTACCTCTTCATAACTCAACAATAATAGAGAGTGCATCCCATTCAACAAACTCAAGAAACAACAGCTTTTTCTCTTTTGTCCTCAACACTACCAGGAAGAATAAATAACTAAAAGACAGACTATTCTGAAGATATTAGAAGGAAAACGGCGAAATAAAAGAACAAAAATCTACCAATCAGTTTCCGGTGTACTAATTAGGAACCTAGGCCTACACACCTCGTTCGTTCCTATAGCAAAGACTGCCATTTCTTTGCAGACAACTTACTACATTTTTCAACAGATCTCTGAAGCAAAAGAATGTAAATGAATACATAGCCTCAAATAGCAAACTTTTTCGCAAGCCTAAAAATACCCAGTTCACCTTTTACACCTAATATGTAGCATCCCTTCATTTGACAGAATATTTTACCAACCAAGGTATTAATTAATTATAGAACTCTTTACTCCACTAAAAGTTCAAACTTAAAGTTCAAAATTTTGAAAACCCCACTGAAATTCAACAAATACCCACCTCAAATCGGCCCTCGAATTAACGAAATTAGTAGAAAATTAAGCCAAAACGAAATTACATTTTTTCTCAAGAAACAAGCAAAAATTGGAACTTTTCAATCATGGGTTTCGTTCGAAAGAGAAAGAGAGTGAGAAAATACCAGAATTCAAGCTGTAGGGAAAAAAAATCTAAGAAGCTTTAACTGCTGAGAGAGAAAGAGGATGAGCTTTACAGTGTAAAGTTTGGAAGTAAATGGAGAAAGCCAACACCTTGTTTTTCTTCCTTTTTTTTTAATGGGCTGTAAGAGAAGAAAAATACAAAGATAGAAGAACAAGCCCTAAAACTAAAAGTAGAGGATTCTAATGGGAGAAAACTTTGACTGAACACTGGTTGTACTTACCTTTTAATAATCCATTTTTCTCAAGTTTGCAAACCATAAACGAATCAATTACATGCAAGTCTTATTGTTTAAGGGTTATTTATTCAAAGCCCCCAAACTTATGTAAATTTTCGTTTAAGGCACCCAACTTTCTTGGCTTTTGGTATACTACTACTAGAAATAGTAATTTATGGACTTTTTTTTTTGGAAATTTTTAACTGTTGCTAACACTTAATTTTAGTTAAAAGAAAATGTACTATGTACCATTAATTGTAATTAATGCCCATTTGGGTTTTTTTCTTATATTTTTTTAATTTGCTTTCATAAATAAAAAATATGAGGATAGTGAAATGCTTGGAATTTAATTTAATATTAAATTTTATGTAATTTGTTAAGAAAATATTAAATTTAATTTTTAATTTTAGCTATCAAAATTAAAATCTTAATAACTTCAAATATTTAAAAAATTCAATTATGATGATAGTTATTAAAACTATTTCATCCAAAACTTAGACAATTTGTGATAGAAGTAAATTTAGTATCAACAATCATCTGATTCCTTAATAAAATACTGAAATTTTAATTCTGATGATTAAAATTAGAATTCTAACAATCTCAAGAATAAAAATAAATCCAATCACTATAATAATAAAATGAAATTGAGCTTAACTTGATGTTTTCAAACTCATCCTTAAAAATTAGATTGAATACAATTAAGTATCAATTTTAATACTCAAAACTCAGCTTATTAAGTAACAAACGTGCAACATTAGCATTCTCGAGCTCGAACTCAAAGCAAATTGACTCCATTTAAGACTATGCCAAGATATTTCTCCATGAACAACCCTATTTCCATTTTTTGTTTAAACTTCCAAAGCCATGAAACATTATACATATATGATAGAAATGGTTGAAAAGCTTTTTTCGATTCTCTTAGCTAAGAGAGTCTCTTTACAACACTTCTAAAATGACAAAAAAATGAAACAACTAAAACTCTAAAGAATCATACTCTGACAGCAACCTGAAATCTGGAAATTGGAAGTGTAAGGTAAACATCAACAGTGTTATCCTGTCAAGTTTTGAGACTGAGCCCACTGAAGGCGTGAAAGGAAGATTCATGTTTCCAGTGAGCAACGATGGCAGGTCAATATTGAACTCTCCTAGAAATAAGTACTTTTGGCAAACATGGCAAGGACTAATGCTATCCTGTTACGTAGTACACTTGGCTTCTGTTATATCATCTGCTGATGAAGATCAGCAGCCTGCTGAGCCAGCTCCACCACCATAGCCTCATCGAAGAATTTGTTGATGCTCACATCTTCACTCATACCCTGGAAAGTTCAACAGAAAATTCACACTCATCAATTGTGGTTGGAATATTTTTTAAAGCTCTTAGTCCATTTTAGTAATGGGATGTCTGTGTGTCAACATATGTGGAAAGAAGTATCTATACCTTTCTACGCCTTGTCTTCACCATGAACTCCCGAGCAAGATGCTGAATTGGTGCAGGTTCAAGAGGCCGCAAAACTATGCTCTTGTCCAGGGGATCTCCAGGAACTATGGCCCAGTGGTCGAACACTGAGAGACAAAAGGCTTGCCCTTGGGTGTGGTACCTTAGATCTGTCTCGAATCCAAATGACTCTATAACAGGTAAAAATGCCTAAATCGAAAAAGAAATCATATGAAATTGTGAGCATTTAGATGGGGTAATGAGTAAACTATTAGGCAATTGTTTGAATGATAAAACATGCCAGAATATCACCTTCCTAGTCAATGAAGTTAGGCAAGGAAATAAGGTAATTCATATGTTCACTACTGTCATCCCTCACATTAATAAATAAAACCACCAGTCATGCAAATATTTTTAAAGGAAGTCAAGCTTCGGTTCCAAACCTTTACAATATAGGCTGGGGTTCCTGGCTGTGGCACATCAGCAGTAACATGGCCACGCCTACGAGACAACACAGTGTAGATAGCAGAGACACAGTCGATTGGTGTTTGTATCTGAAATAGAATCACGAACTTAAAAGCAAATTGTAAACACAAGTTTATCATATGAGGCAGTTGCAAGTGATTAGAAAGGTACCAAAAAGACAGATTTTTTCTTTAATTTTCCCCCTTATTGGCCAAAACAGGCATGCTTGCAGGTGGGATTTAAACCTTGGCATAGCCCTCCCTCATCCTAGAAGGAAGAGTATGCCATTTGCCCAAGAGCCATAGCAACAGGGGAAAAATGAAAATTTTTAAAATTGAGCATTCTTTTCAGCTTTCATATACCAAGGCTTATTCCTTTTGTCATTGAAAGAATTAGCCACTGCATCTGGTCTACCTCGATTTGCAATATTATCTCTTTAGGTTTCTCTTGCATGTTTAATTGGGATAAACCCCCTAGGTGGAAGGCTGAGCCAGGAATAGATCCCTGGTTCAGCAGGATAACCCTCGCTCTAAAGAGGAAATAGTAGCCAGTGGGAATATCATTCAAGGCAGGAACATACCTCCACATAATATACAGGTTCCATAAGCCGTGGGGTTGCCATTAGGAAAGCTGAATAGGCCACACGTCGAGCTGTGGGGATGATCTGTCCAGATCCTCGATGCAATGATTCAGATGCAATCCTTGCATCTACTATTTTGAACTTCACATTTCTAATTGGTTCATCACAGAGAGGTCCTTCTCTAGCACCCCACTGAAATCTGCCCAGCAAAACATGAAATCCTTAATCACAAGCAGTAAATTAACTACTTAGAAGATAGGGAAAAGAAGATGTAATCTTACCCTTGGACAATAGAATCCCTAACAGAACCCAGTAATACCTTGTCAACCTCAGTAGGGAGTGTATCATCTAATAAAATGTTAGGTCCCTGCAAAACAAGATTTGAAACAGCAGAGGTTAACCATAGGTACCAATTATTAGGACCTGAATTCCATTTCTTCTGCTCTGTACAACCAGGAGGAACAAGATAGAATCACCAATACGGGATTAAGTTAGAAACAATAGAATTGCACTTTTGTACCTGCTTATCAGGGCCAAATGCCCAGATGGAACGAGCAGCAAGCAAATCCCAGTCATATTTTGTCTTAAAGAAGTCACCAAGTTGCTTCCGACTCCAATCAACACTTACAACACCATTCTCTATGTCCTCTGCAAGACCTCTCTCCAATGGCTCTGCAATCTTTAGAATCATGGAAAGGTATATGATCATACAGCCTCAAAGGAAGTACTTAGTAATTATTCCTAAAAGCATCTAGATTGGAAAAAAAAAAGTAATGGCTGCCTTACCATGGTTATTTTATTCTTCTTGTTGGGTGTTTCAGCAAAGCATTTCATGGATGAAGACTCCACCACTGTTTCACAGAATGAAACAACAGGATCTGCCACCTATATTTAGGAGAAGCATAAGAAGTCAAAACACATATATTAACTTGAGCACAGCCCTAATAATAGAGAAAGGAATTTCAGAAAGAAGTAAAATTAAAATAGTACAGGGACAATGAGAAACTAGATACCTTAACTTCCACCTCAGAATAGAGCTCCCTAAGGTCCTTCATAATCGAGTCCAAGTACAACTCTCCAGTACCTAATATAGTGTGCTCACCAGATTCCTCAACTTTAGTGATAGCTAGAGGATAGCTTTTGCTGATCTTTCGAAGCCCCTCCACCATTTTGGGCAACTCACTGGGATTTAAAGGCTCAGTGGCCGTTTTTACAACAGGAAGAGTATTAAACTGTAAAGGACGGAATATGTATATGTCTTCATCAAGTTCTGTATTACAGAGGGTGGCAGTTTTCATAATTGAAGCATCAACACCTTCAATGAGAACCCAAGATCCAGGAGGAGCACTGCTTATGGGTATTCTGAATCGAGCTTGGTAGATCCATAATTTGGTTACTTCTTTCACTGTCATGTCCTCCTCATCATCTGGTGAATAGCCTTCTCCTAGCACTCTCAAAGTCTGCCCTGTTTGAATTCTACCACTGTAAACCCTACCAAAAGCATCAAAAACACTACAATCGGACTTGGGGTATAGTTTGGTCACATTAACCATAAGGGGGCCAGAAGGATCACAATCTACCATGGCCTTGTAAATCATAGAATGTTTAGGTCCCGTGTATATATGATCAACCTTCTTAGCTGCAGCATCCTTGGGAGATGGTATGTGCTGAACCAGCATATCAGTGAAGCCTGAGGCTGAACCAAAAACTGTGCTGCAAGCAAGCCTTAGCAAAGGCCTGACATTTAACTTGTAAGCAGCATTGCTAAGAGTGACACCCAACTCTGCAAGAGTTGACTCTACGCTCTTTCTATGTTCACCGATCACCTGGCTATATATCTTATAAAGGGGTTCAAGCACAAGTTCGACAAATGATCGTTCTCCTCCACCAGCAGGAGGTTTCCTTTTAAAAGCCCTTGTATCAGGATGATAATAAATATCTCCCCAAAGACGAGAAGCAAACTTCTCAGCATCAAATGGAATTTCATGGAGTTTGACATATAATTTTGCAAATGACTGCAAAGTGAAGGACCATCCTGCACTTGCACTAGCAAAACAAACATTTCCAGCAGCAGGATCAACAACTGGAACATTACCAGCAGCTGTGGAGGCGGCAGATATGTGGTTATTGATTACTTCCAGGGTATGTCTTAGCTTATGGTAAGCATCCTTGGGTGGCAACTTAAGTTCTGTTATCAGTCGGTCAACCTTAAAAAATTAAAAAACGTTTGAGAATGAGCATGATGTGGAAGACATCATTTTCATCAAAATCTGATAAAGATATATGAAAGCATAAGGTGCAAAATTGTTTACCTTGTTTATAACAACTACAATAGGTAGGCGCTCCTGTATTGCATGGCGTATAGCCCTCTCAGTATTTACCTGTTCACAACCGGAAAGCATAAGAATCATTCTCAACAGCTCTAAATTGTTCATACATTCTACAAATAGCAGCTATATCATGTAGAAACCCAAGTTCAACCATTTGTAAAGCAGTTTACTTGAAAAATATTTTACTAA